ATATATATATATATACAAATATATTATATTAAACATTATTTAAAAAAAATAAAATATTTTTTTTATAATTGCCATGCAAATATTAGTCACTTGTTTTACTAGTTACTATTTGTTATTTTATGTAGCTGTATGAGAAACAAAAAAACTACTTTCATGTATTCATGTACATGATATACTATACTTTTTTATTCAAAACTACATTTGGCATGTGAACTATTTAAAAAAAAAACTGTGAGAGAAACGTAATGAGTCATCATACACTACAGCTCCCTCACAACCCCTAAAAAACACCCAACTCTCTCTCTCTCTTTCTCTCTGTAACCACCTTTGTTAAGGGTCCCTCTCTTGGGGGGAAGCAATCTGCCAAACTCCTTGGAGCAGTTCAGATCCCCAGGGATTGGGTTTCCACTTGCCTTTAGTTCGTGCTCACTCAATCAAAAAGTTAGGATCATCCATTTATTTAACACACTGGGCTATTCAAAGGTGCTCAAAGCAGAGAGGCTTAGAGAGCAACACCAAAACTGTCCCCTTCCAAAACAGCCCGGGGCAACATGAGAGGAACGACTAATCCAGGCAGGGCACTTGAGATCAAATGAGGGTGGGAAAGATCTCGCTCCTCAGCGGCACAGACCCCTTTAACAAGTGTATGCCGTTTTGAAAGATATGCCTGAGAAATACAGCAAATATTCCTGTATTTAAATGAACTCTGTACCTAAAAACCGAATGCTTAAAGCAGTCAGCCCACCATCTGTGCATCTCTCACTCCAGCTGAATTCTTACTGGTGCAGCTTATTAATATTAAAGCACAGATGTCAACCGGACACACTGACCTTCAGTAATGTGAATGTTTTATTATCCCAAACAGGGGTGAAACCGAAGACATTTTTGAGATGTTTCTGGGAAGGCGAGTGTTTGCTGATAAATGAGCCATACGAGTGCAAGACCTGATCCAGCAGTGTGTTCAAATATAAGACGCAGGGTTGTTTTCATTTTGCTTTATTCAAGGAAACTAGCTGTGTTAAAGTCGATGTGAAAGACTGTTCGCCACCCATTTATTTCTGTAAGATATTCAGTTTTTATTCCTGATGGATAAAATCACATCTGTCCAACATTTTATCTCACTGAATATCACTCTCCACAGATCAGGTTGCAAACAGCAATTCACATTGACTTTAAACATACTTTTAACATACACTACTGATCAAAAGTTTGGTGTCAGTAAGATTTTTTTTTCTCTCTCTTATGCTTAACAAGACTTTATTTGATGAAAAATGTAGTAAAGATAGTAATATTGTAAAATGTTATTACAATTTAAAATAACTGTTCTCTATTTAAATGTTTTACTTTAGATAGATAGATAGATAGATAGATAACATACATACAGACATAGTCAACTGCAATATATTACTCTAGTCTCCATGATCACATGAGTCACATGATCCTTCAGGAATCATTCTAATATAAAAAACAGATTAATATTTTGTGGAAACAGTGATACATATTCTTTCAGGAATCTTTGAATAAAAAGTTCAATAGAAAAGCATTTATTTGAAACAGAAATCTTTTGTAACATCATACATATTTTTCTGTCACTTTTGACTGATTTAATGCGTATTTTCTGAATAAAAAAATAAAAAAAATTCTTGCTGACCTCAAACCTTTTCAATGGAAATGTGAATGTGCATAAATGCACATTTGACATAAATCTGATGTGTTAACTCAATCTGACTCAAAAACGTAGCTCAGAATTGAGTCATGATTAAAACATGATCTGCTCTCCTTAAGTTTTTTGAATGTTCAAACTTATTAATGTTGACAGGACAGCTGAATCACAAGGGTAAAGCTGAGACAGAGGAGCACATTGTGCATGTGTGTGTGTGTGTGTGTGTGTCTGTCATGGAGTTCACAGGTGCCAGGTGTGAGGGTTTACCTGGATCTGCCTCCTCTCATGCTAATAGAGGATCAGCTCAGCCAATGCTGCACTGCTTAACCAGACACCAACACACTCCAGCAGTAAACAACAGCAACACTGCTGTAAACACATGCTGAATAACAAACAATAGCTCACACTGCTATAAATGACAACTGAATAAAGAACACTGCCAGCATTGCCAAAAATACTAGATCCTACTAGACCTAGAACACACTTTAAATAATCCTGCTATATAATTACTGAACATTACCAACATTTCCATAAACAATACTGAATGCTGACCATTAAAGATCAAAGCACAACTATATGAATGCAAAAATCAAGCTCGATTCCACATGCCATTGTGTTTTGTGTTCAAATGCAATTATTCACAGTGCAACGAAGGGATTCAGTCTAACCGCTTTGATCTAAAATATTTACCTAAAGTACCACTTGAGATTTTAAAATCATATTTTAATAATTTAACAACACATTGGCATGTTCATGGTACTCAGATATTGTTTAATGGTCACAAGACATGCAGGCAAACAAAATATTTATAAATCTTTTTTATTTAGATTGTTTTTATTTTAAAATTATGTGTTTTAGGCTCCAGCCCAGTGATTCTGCAGAGGATAAGCGGTATGGAAAATGGATGGATGGATGTTTTGATTAATTATTATCCTTTTGTCAACTCACAAAATTCAGTTTGGGAAACCCTGGTATGACGCAAACACATTTTGCATTCTCAACATTGCCACAAGGGACACTATAGCAAACACAAGCATAAAATGTCTGCTTCTATGGTAACGATTGTCATTTAGATCAGCTTCTGACATCATGCAGTTTAATGGCACAGATATTTAAAGATTATAAGATTCATGACAATTCTGAACACTACCCTGATCATCAAAACACCATCTAACATACACAAAACATGAATATAAACACAAACTAGCGACCAAATTAACAGTGAATCAAAGTGATAGTTCACCCAAAAATGAAATCTATGATCTATGATCATTTACTCACCCTAATGTTGCTTAAAACCTCTATGACTCATTCACAAATCAGGCATAAATAGTTATCTTAATAACTGTGTCGATATCAGGATTTTAAGTGGATAATATCTTAAATTCCATAACGTCATACAAGTTTGGACCAACATGTAGGTTAGTAAATAATGACAGAATTATCATTTTAGGTGAACTATGCCTTTAAAATGTAATATTTTTAAACCTGCTTCCCCGTGTTCATCTAATGTGACACAAAATGAACTCACATTAATTTATTTCTCCTCCCTCGCATTACAGTTAAGCACAGACACAAGAATAAAACTCCATACAAGAAGAAACAAACAGAAACGGAGCACTAGAAATCCAAAGGATTATAAAACTACATAAGAAACAGGATTATGCAGGTATCGGAATCCAGGACTAGAGCTTTATGGAGTCGTGTCTGTTGTGAAATCTTTATGCTGAACAGCTCTGACTGACACAAACGAGCACAAGACTGAAATATAAACATGCTTGTATCAGTCGGCAAAGTTAAGAGCAGCATTCAGTGTGTTTATCTTCACTCTGAGTCTCTGTTCTCACACTCGTACCGCTGGGGCACGCTGCCCATCAGTTCTGTGGTTTTTGTTTTGTTTATACTTTGATACATTTTGATTAATAACAGCTCAGGTTGGATGTTAAAGAGAAGAAGTTCATCTTAGATATGATATTAGCAGGCCTAGATGGAATTCTCTGGGGAAATAAGGTATTTAAACACGGTAAAATGAGTTAAATTGAGCTAATGGAGAGTACTGAACACTTTATGTTAGTGGAATGCATTAATTAAATTAGCCTAATTATTTAGTCAATTAAAAACACAAGAGGCAGCTTTAATGATTCTATATATACATAATTATCAGAAAACTGATTAAAGCACGCTCACAATCAGAGATTGCAACAAATAAAGCCATTTAGGAAGACTTGAAAACATGCAACACAAGAATATATCTGAGTTAAATGCATAGTTCTTCCAAAAATAAACAATCTTTAATCCTTTATCAACCCTCATGTCATTCCGAACCTGTATGACTTTATTTCATCATGTTGAATTTCTGATGAACATCCTGCAACTCTTTTAAATATAATAAAAGTGAATGAGTGCTGTCAAGCTCTGAAATGACAAGTTTCAGAGTTATAAGTTTTATAAAAGTGGTCCAATTTACTTGACAGTGTGAGAAGATCTGTGTTCTTGAGAGTTCATTGAGTGAAGTAGAAGTGTCTGAATTTGTTTTGTTTGTTTTTTTTTTGTTAGATCTCTCAATGATTCGTTCAGTGAATCAGACTGATTCGGTTCTCAAATTCTACTCACTGATTACACTTACATGCACACAAATATTCCAATATGAATCATGCAATATTCTGATTATAACTGAGTCATGGCACAATCGGATTGCCCGATTCAGTTTAATAATATTCGGAATCCTCAAATTCTGATTCCCACCCATATATATAGCATGCAAACATCATAAACATAAATATTGTAAACATATATATGCACATGCAGTAAATATCATATTCAGAATATGGCTGTAACCTGTATATAGGCCTTAAACTGAATTTGATGTGCATGAAAATAGTCAATAATGTTGCCACAGCAGTTAACTTTATTTTCAGTGAATAATGGCTTGTGGTGCTTATAGTTGTATACCCTACTATTAATATACCACATTTATTAAACCTCTGTGTTTTTTTTTTTGCGTCTTTATTAAGAGCCTCAGTCATTGCAAGTGCATGGAAAAGACCTTATAACTCCCCCATTTGTGTTTAACAAAAGAAACAAAGTCATACAGGTTTGGAACGACATGAGGGTGAGTAAATGATACCAGAAATTTCATTTTTGGTTGAACTATCTCTTTAATTCATTCTGCCTTGTGTGTTCAAAAGCAGACTGCAAACAGGTTACAGGTTCTTCTGTGTGGTTTATTCAGAGCACAGGAACACTCCCGTACCGTACTTGCCCCCATCGTCTCCATTGGCGTTGATCTTCTTGCCCAGGATCTGCACATGTTTCCCAGTGGTTCGGCTGTAGAGCTGATATATCCGCACCTGCTTCCGACTCACGTCGTCTCTGGTGTGGTTCTCGATGTAGAACCGGAAGTCGGCGGAACTCTGGTGAGATTCCTAGAACCAGCAAGAACAAAATGTGTGTTGATCTATGTCTTGATTCAGTTTTACAACTGCATGCCACTTCTTCTGTGCTAAAAATCCTTTACCTAATTTGGTGTTCCTGGTCAAAAATGACCGGCCTTTTAAAAACTGCTTTTACATCTCTCTTTCTGCTATATTATTTTGTTTTGTATTTCTTTTTGGAACTGATTAGTTGTAGGCCTCATTGATCTGGGTTGCGTTTCCTAAAAGCATCGTAAGCCTAAGTTGATCGTAGAACCATTGTCACCAATGGTTAATGATGCTTTAGGCTAAGGCAGCCCTGGTCTTATGCACTTCATTTTTGAATGGAAAAAATCATTATTTTGGATAATTTGGGCAATGTTCACTTAAAAACTGAGGTGCATGGGCTCAGCTCAATCAGTTGCAAAAAGAAATACAAAACCTATGCTAACTGAAAGAAAACAAGTTAATAAAAAGTTTCAATCTAATAGCATAATAATACATTTCTAAACAATGTTTTGTAGACTGGTCATTTTTGACTGGGAACACCACAAGTGTAACAAGGTGGGGGGAAAAATCCCCAAAAAAGTACAAAAATTATCAAATTTTTGGGAAGTTGTAATACTCAGTGTGAGTCAGTAAGTTTTAGTCCAATGCAACAACATTAAATAGCATTTTCGGCGAAAAGAATATCCTCTGTGCGTCAAATGGCATTAATAACTGATTTTACTTTAATCATGTCAAACAAGGGGATGGGATTTCATAAATTGGGAATTGACTGGAAAGTGTCCATTACATGCCAGAACAGTGATAGTCGTTTCAGAGGAAAAGCAATTTTTCATGCTGATGAAAAATTATGATAACACTTTTTTTTAGGAAAAACATGAAACGGTGATGAAACCAGGAATGTGTACTGTGTACAAAGTAAACAGTCAAATTTTGATATCCTGTTGAATCAACACTAAACTGACTTTACAGCAGAAATTGAATTTGATTTATATTTTGAAAAGGTTTGCATTGATTCTGTCATTAACTCCTGTGAAACTGCTTTGAAACAAACTGTATTGTACAAAGCCCTATATAAATAAAGGTGACTTGACTTGACTTAGTTTCAAGCAATAAAAAATTCAATGAAAGTTCAGATCACAGTGATTCCTGCATGTTTTGGTGCCCGTCTCTCTCTCTCTCTCTCTCACTAAATAAAACATCTGAATACGCTGAGCCTGAAGCTACACCGAGAAGTCAAGTTTTCAATTTCCACAAGCAAGTCTCCAGCAATTATCCACCTGAAAGATCCAACTCTGTCATCAAACAAATATCTGCCTAAGGTAAGAATCGCACTCATAAATCACACATACACACCTGTAAGTATGGGAAGTACATGTACACAACTGAAGACTGCTGCACTGCTACACACACACAAACACATAAAACACTAACATAATAAAATGCAATATAACTTGCCATGGCATCTCCTGTCGCTCACATTCACAATCACCCGAGGCTTTATATGAAAATCACCAATCCACTTCTCATCCAATATCCTCCTATCTTTCCTCCTCCTCCTCTTCTGTCATCCTTCCATATGTGAGGAAAACATATACCTCTAAAAACCCTGGAATCTCTGTCCCAGCCAAGACTACTCTCACGGGCTGAAACTAGAGGTAATTATCCTGTAATGAGCTTTTATGTGGCTTCTCTCAGGTGGTTAATTACGCTCACATTACATGCTTCCACTCCATGTTATTTTAACCTCGGCTAATTAATGACATTTAGGGAGCATGAGGGGAAAAGCGCAGCTTACGGTACAAAAAAAAAATCTTTTCAACAGAGTTGAGAAAGAAACTTCCATAGAGATTCATGCTGAATGCAAGACTGCTAAGAAATACATCAGCATGACACAACTGGCTAAATTAACCCATTAATCAGGAATTATTCAATCACAAATGAAAATCACTTCAAAACAATGTCATTATCCCATTTTCCCCAAGAAATAAAAGAGATAAAAATAAGAGACTGAATATATTGATAAAAACACTATCATTCAACAAATTAAGTCAGCAAGTCTCCTTAACAACTTTGTTTGTTTTCTCAAGGAGAGCCTTTTTTTAAAAGTTTTTGAAAGAAGTTTCTTATGCTCACCAAGGCTGCATTTATTTGATGAAAAATACAGTAAAAACAGTAATATTGTTTTCAATTTTAATACATTTTCAAATGTGATTTATTCCTGTACTGCAAAGTAGAATTTTCAGCAGAAATTATTCCAGGCTTCAGTGTCCCATAATTTTTATTGTTGTCAATGTGGAAAAGAGTTGTGCTGCTTCATTTTTTTGTGGAAAATGTCATAACGTCATACAATTTTTTTTTTTCAGGATTCTTTGATGAATAGAAAGTTCAAAAGAACAGCATTTATTTGAAATACAAATATTTATAACATTATACATGTCTTTACTGCTACTTTTGATCAATTTAATGCATCCTTGCTGAATTAAAGTATTAATTTCTTTAACAACAAAAAAAATATTTATAAAAATAATAAAATAAAATAAACACATAAAAATAAAAATCTTACTGACCCCAAACTTTCGAACGGTAGCATATATTTTTTGATACATATACTGGAGCAGAACTATTGAATGTATGCTATAATAAACAAAATCACAATGGCATTTAGGGCAGTCATATAAAATACGAAAAGGTCAAAGGTGATCATTCATAGTGGTTTGAATGTAAAATTACATCCTGAATCCTCAAAGTTAAAAATAACTTTTAAAGACCTGGACCACTGCAGCGGACAACATGCAGTGTTCAACAAACCAAAAGACATTTCACAACACAGCCTAGTTGTGAAACAACTATAAACATATTAGTTGAATTTAGATACCCTAACATCTTCTAGAAAAAAAACTGTATTAATTTCAGTCATTGTTATACATTTTATTTTCTTAGATGAATACATAGATTTAACACAGAATCAAGTTTAATTCTAAGCTCTTGGCCAATTTCAGCTCACAAAAAGCACACACACATACGCAACTCCCGCGCACACACTCTCAGCCTCTCCTCGGAAGGATTTACTCTGAAATCTGGCCATCTAGTCAGACACAGAGGTGTGTTTTGTAGACAGTTGCGTACGGACGGGAGCGGGAAGGCAGAGAGGGCATGCCTATGCAGGGAGCGAGCCACGGCCAAACATTTTTATCACGCCGCCCGACTCCCTTCAAAGCCAACCTAGGCAAACGAATCTCACGGCGACTTCAAAAGCCCGGCCCCGTCCCGAGCACTCTTGCATGTCAGATAGGCCCTATCTGCAGACACCACTCTCTGCGCAGGATGCATCTCAGGAAACAACGCTTCAGTGCACCGCCACTTAAACTGTGCTTATCGCGCCGTCTTTCACTGCATCTCCTTAATAACAACTTTGTTTGTTTTCTCAAGGAGAACCTACAACAACAGCGAAGGCCACGGTTAGCAGTAGAAGCAAGTGATACTTGTACTCTGTCTATCAATGACCTAAAGAAGAACTACTGTCATCACTGCCACAGAAAAGCCTTGTTTGTGCCAACTGCTTTGGAACAAAACTGAACGCACAGAATTATATAACCAACATGGGTCTAATTTTTTTCAAAGCGGTGGCTTTTGTTCCTGGTTTGTGCGGTGATCGCCCCCTTCTATTACGACATTCTGATGCAAGTTTTATAATCACAAAGCCTTGACCCATTTGCCAGGAGAAAAAAGGCTCTCATTAAGCCGTTCCCGCCTTGTTAGGAATGTACATCTGTCAGTAAAGACGAATTTAAGGAACTGCAGATATCTAATTACTTATGTGTTAGGTATATTTTGTCGGTTGAATTCAAAGGATTAGTCACCTTCCTCAAAGTCTTGGGAGAGTCTAAGATTGCAGCTAGTCTTACCTTAACAGCTTTTAAAAGGAAAAAAAATTGGCCACTTCTTAGCCTCTTTAGATTTATTACTTTGGATGCATATAGTTGGTGTACACTGTATATGTATATACTTGTATGCACTTGTATATACTTAAAATATTATTTAATTTAATGGTGTGTATATATATATATATATATATATATATATATATATATATACTGCTGTAGCAAATATATGTTTTTTTTTTTTGTGGGTTTTTATTCAATCTAATCTTAATTGTATTTAATATGCAATTAATTTAATTTCAGTGTCAATGTTCATCCTCCAAAAAATAAATATTACCCACACACACAAACACACACACACACACACACACACACAAATGCATTTAATCTCCACTAAAAGGTCACTTGAGTTCATAAATAAAATTTAAATGCACATATTGCTTATTTTAGTATTCAGCGTGAAATCAGTCAAAACATGAGTTTACTAACTATTCTGAATGAAATAAGTATGACTACTTATGAATTACGAGATTCATGGTCAAACACAAAAAGGCACAAAAGGAAACCCCAGACTTTAAGAGAAAAATAAATTAAATTGCTCTGGCAAGACCACCAACACATCCAAAGAGTCTTTTTTTATTTTTTATTTTACAGCCTCTGGGGTGTAGATTTCCCATGCCTCTGTTTTCAAAAACCTCAAGACAACAAATTAAACAAGCTTTGTGTTTGCGCACCGGCGGCACATCCTCATAATCCCTGCCTTAATCCAGATTCATAACGACAGTGAAACAGCCAGACTTACCTGCAACTGGAAGTAGAGGACCAGAAAATGTAAACACCTGGAAAGAGAAAGAAAGAGAGAATGAGAGGGAGAGACAGAAGGGAAGTAAGGAGGGGTGAATCACAAGCAATTACACCAGATAAAAATGTAGCAGTTCATCTTAAACCTGGCTTTGAGCGACTTCTATTGGCAAGAATGTACGAACTCAACGTGAATCAAATAAAGTATTAAGAATATTCCTTACACGTAGATTAACCTTGACGGCAGACCAGACATCTTGGTCAAATACACCTGTTTCCAGCGTTTGCCGCTCCAGTAAGTGCCGCGCGGAGCCCCGCCACTGTCTCACACACAAAATCCCGGAGGAGAGGTGCAATACCAAGGCAAAGAGAGATGAAGGAAGTGTAAATGCGCCGCTGGAAGCAGCATGAGGCTGTTTCTGGTTTGAAAAAGAGCTGAATAAACGCAAATCAGTGTCTTCCCCGTGGTGTCCCCGCTTCTCCGCGGTCCGCGCGCGCTGCGCTCTCTCGCCAAAGCGCGCAAAGATTGAATTGGTAAGAAAGGCTGAAGCGGGGTGTCTCCTCCTCGGTGAACAATCCGCGACCTTTAGTGCTTACTCTTGATCCAGTATGCGAGATGAAAAGATAAATCCCGTTCGTACCTGCCGAAGTCACCTGGAAGCGCACACCTTACGTGGATCATTCCAAGCTTCCCGTGTCTATTGTTTGGAGAGGGAAAACTTTCCCAACAAGTCAGGATAGATGAGTTACGGTTAGAAGTCTCTCGTTTAGTTGTTGCTTCACTGTTATCCGAGTCGTTTGTACATAAAAGGCGCACAGAGCCGTGGCAAATCCTGGAAGAGCGCTGGGTGATGGTACGGGACTGTCTGTATGTGTGCCGAGGAGGGCTGGAGCGCACTGAGGGGTTTTGGGTTGGTGGTGGGTGGAAACCTGTCAGTGGTTTTGCACCTGATAGGGTGATCTGAGAGAGTCCATCGGTGCGCGGAATGCGCCTTTCCTCTGTCTGAGCACAGTTTCCTTTGCGCTTCTCGTAGTTTCTTAAACTCTTTCGTCGATTCGATGGGAATCTGTGAGAATTCCTCGCGGATTTCACATACGAACTCGTAAACAGGTGCATTTCAGTTGAGCAAAACCAGACACGCGGTGTTGAGATAACCAAATTCTCATCTGATGGGGTAAAGAAAAAGAGGCGTTACACTCACTTTAAAAAAAGTTTAAATGCATACTACCGCTGTTGATAATATAATATGAGCCAAGGTCATTAAGTTTCAATAAATTATTAAATAAAAATATTCTTATAATTAATATAATAGTATCAATTAAAATAATAATAATCATTAAAATAATTAATCATAACTTAATACTTGGATCAAAGACAAATAAGAATGTCAGATATGATAAAAGGGAGAAATGTTTAAAAAAAATCAGGTTTTAAACACATGCTAATTTCTTAAAAATGTAATCTTTATGTCCATGATGGTTTCATTCATTTTTGTAAAAAAAAAATTAAAAAAAAATACAATTATTTTAATTTTTTTACGATTTTCATATCACATGACAACCAAATGGCTTTCTCATTCAAAAAAAAACAGTAATAAATAAATCTGTATGTATTAGTTTGAGGTAGAGGTGTAAATTAAATCCCTAAGATGTAGTTAAAAATGCAACAAAATTTAAGTATTTAAAAAAATGTCCATTTACTGATACCCTCATTCAGCTCGTTTGTCAACTTCCCAAACCTGAAAGTGTTTTATTGTTGGAGTTTGTTGATTCCTCTCAGACAGTATTGAAATGCAAGTGCTTGTCGAACTCGAATTTTCAATATTGTGCTATAAGTCATCGGGCATTGAAATGCATCAGAGGTGTGAATAATGTGTTTACAAGGTCTTCTGAACATGCCCCCTGCCAGCTGCAAGTTTATTCCCCCAACAGCCCTTTTCTCAGCTGTGATCAGAGAAAAAAAAGAAACATTTATTCATTTACATTACTGCTTTTACGTTTTACCGTACTCTATCAGTTGCACAGAATTAACTTACAAAGCACAGCTAAGATTTATTTTAGAGGTTAAAAACTAACAAAGCATGTGGTGTAAAACAACATGGTCCAGTTGACATTTTTGCTTGTTCAAACTATTACAAACAACCTCAGACTGTGTTGGTGTCCAAAACATCTATTATGAATCTGATGAATTACTTTAAAGTCTAGCCTAGGACAGCACATGCCATAAGAAGGTAGTCAAAAAAAAATCACACTTCATTAACACCAAATTAAATCCTATTGTTCTTTTTTTTTCTTCTTCCTTTTAGCATGTGCTCTTTCTTGTTTTGCATGCATTTTTTTTTTTATGCATGCAAGCTCCTTCTATACTCCAAAATAATAAAATAGCGTATAAAAATAAAACCCTAACCTATAAATCAGGAAGGCTGATGTCGAGTGAAGTGAATTTCCTTTGAAGTGGATCACCTGGACCATGCTGTAAACTCACAATTATCCATTTGGGAACAACCAAAACAAAAGCGGTTTCAACAAAGAAGCGAACACCAAGATTAGTCCGTCATCATCCAAAAAAGATCAAGGGAGGCTTTGGCAATATGACAACCTACAGAACATTTCCTGCAACAAGGCCGAGATTGGGACGCGCAGATCTAACGAATAGGAAGTTACACTCTGGCATTCTCTTGAATTCGGAAGTGGCTAGATCTTTCTGAATATTCAAAGCTTTGGATACCGCATCTGTCTTACAGAGTATTAATTATTCACGTGGCAGATTCCAAGTGCAACTTATGCTACAGTGAGAGCCAAATTCATTTGTCTAGTGTGAAGCACAGACATAGTTGTGTTTAAATTGTCTTTGTTATTTATTAGAATTGCACTACTTGGAAGAATAAAGACAAAACGAATGAGCGATAGATTCCAGCAGTTATTCCTGGGAGAGCTGGAGAGGTCTACATCACACTTTTAACTTGTGAAAAACTGCTAAACCTTAAAGTGGGTCACACTTTGTATGTGCAGCGGTTAAGTGGACTGAGGAGTGATTTAACTAAACAACAAAGGATCATTAGTCAAAGCGGCTTAATGACAGGATAGAATGCATTAAAAAAAGATAAATATGTCAGATCAAGGCATTCTGCACAAAACCAAGGCCTAAAAAAAATAATAAAAACAGTGTGTCCTCGGTGCATCGGTGTAATGAAAGTTAGCAACACTGTGCAACTTCTGTGTCCCTGAAGCTTAATAAAGCAGGCAAAAAAGGTCACGCACAGTTGTTCAAAGGCTTTACAAGACCTTTTAAAGCTTGACAGAGTAACTTCACAGTTCTGGAAATAAAGCCCAGTATACCACATTAGTGTCAGAACACCTCCGACACACCCAGCTTCCTCCCTGCTTCCGCTTTCATCTCTGACACAAACGTTTAGATGGAGGGAGTCACAGCATCTGTGTCCTATTGAATTTAAAGGTGATGGAGAGACCTAATTGGCTGATTGATATCTGATGGGCTTTTTTTGTGAAGAGAAAGAACTCTATCAGTGTCTCACACAATGGATTAAAAGGTTTATCTGTAAACAAAAGTAAAGCAAAAACAATTTACCTGTTTTTACTATGCATAACACAAATGTAAACAATTTTGTAACATTTTTTCCTCTCACATAATAATAATTTTCACCATAATTTAAAATCATTTTTTAAATAGTTTCTAATATTTGTAATACTCTTATAATTTGGGCACTTTTTAAATAAAAATTTACAAATGTAAGCTTTTAAGATCCAGAGATTTTAAAATGCATCTTTATTAATTTAGTGTTATAATAAATGTGATATCAATATATAATGTAGTATTTTTGAGTTATAGAATTTTTCATAACACAGCTATGTCCTAACTATTCAAACTCTATTGAACATTGCTGTTTTTAAATCACTTATTAGCAAGGTAGAATAAAAAATGGAAACTCTATAATGACAACTAGCTGCTACAAATACATAGAATTACCACATGCATGTGCGAAAGTTGAGTAGCAAAAAAATGTTTTTTTCCTAGTGTGATGAACATTTCAATAATCTAAAGAACTTTTTTCCACTATGAAGAACGTTTTGTGCCATTGGTCCCATGGATGGTAAAGATTCTGCATTAAACCATAGATACTAATAGAGAGTCTTTATTTTTAGAGTGTACATTAGAAAGTCTGTGGCTACAAGAACATTTCCAAAATACAAAAAGTTCCAAGAGACTCAATTGGCAGCATCATTCATGAGTTTAAAATGTATTTTACCACAGAAAACTGTCCGAGTTGTGCACAAAAAGCATAATTTCATCAAGGTTATTAAGATGTTGGATCAGCTGAGAAAAAAAAAAAACAAACATATTTGTCAGACTATAAAAACACTAAACAAGCATGGCCTTCATGCCTGGACACCTCGCTGAACTAGCACTCTTGACTAAGAACATCATAAAGGCCGACCTACGTAACTGAATTTGGATATACCCGAGTACATTTTAATGAGTAGTGAGACCAAACTGAAATTTCTGAACCCATGGATCAGCGGTATGTCTGGTGCATAAAAAGCAAGGTTTATGACCAGAAGAACACCTTCAACACCACGGTCAAACTGGAAATCTTGACTGTTTGAAAGACATCATGAATTCTTAGAAGTATCGGAGCATTTTGGCAGAGAATGTCATACCTTCAGTGTACAGACTGAATCTTGATAATCATTGGACTCTTGCAGCAGGTCAATGATCCCAAGTATGCATCCAAATCTACCAAAACCTAGTTTAGATATTGGTCCTAGAATGCTCTTAAGTGGCCTGCTCAGTCTTCAGATTTAAATCTCACTGAAAATCTTTCGTGGGATTTGAAGAAAGCAGTGGCAACATGGAAACCAAAGATTATCAGTGATCTAGAAGCGTTTTGCATGTGAGGAATGGGCTCAGATTCCAGTTAAGAGGTAACAGAAGCTTCTAAGAACTTAGAGGCAATGTTTGGAGGTTATAAAGTGTAAAGGATTCTCTACAAAACATGACTTTTTTGGGGTTAAATATGTGACCCTGTCTGTGAAATCCAGGCTAAAGTCTCAAAATCTAATTATGAGATAAGAAGCATCAAAGTTTGATTTCAACCATTAATTTCACTGATTTCAATCTTTGACATGGCCTTAGTCAATATTAAAGATATAAAGGTTATATTTTCACAGAATGTTCTACATCTTTATGAAGGATTTTATGTAGAAAACAGTAAATCACAAAAAAAAAACAAAGACTTTTATGGGTTTTCACAGGCAGGGTCACATATTTGTGTACACTCTCAGAAAAAAGGTACAAAAGCTGTCACTGGGGCAATACCTTTTCAAAAGGTACTAATATGAACCCATTAGGTACTAATATGTACACTTTAGGTAGAAATATGTACCTTTAAGGTACTAAAATGCACCTTTATAGGTAAATAAGGTACAAAGGTGTACCGTACTAGTGACAGCTTTTGTACATTACATGTTGTATATGGAGTCAGTCTGAGTTTTATTTTTACTTTTGAACTGAGTAACTCAACTTTGCGTTCTCAGAATCACTCAAATATATATTAATTAACTTTTTGTTATAGTTTACTGATGCCTTAGTTGAAGTGTTTTCATTCAATTTTGTTTAGAACAGCCTTCCATCCACTGATCCATCCAATCCAATGGTCTAAATATGAAAAATAATAGTAAACATATTTGAAAAACAAAAGTAATTAATATTTTGTTAAATCTATTCATTTAGACAAACATAAATTACACAAAATTATGGAATATAGATAAATGTTTATAGATAGATTCCTATCTATCTATCTATCTATCTATCTATCTATCTATCAGCACAGCAATGGTCAATCCCAGGTTTCAAACCCCTGGTAGGTCGCTGTAGGGTCATGTCGTGTCGGACTCTGAAGGTGACAGAGAGGGTGTGTGAGGGAATCAAAGCCTTGATGTTGCTTTGAGGGTGTGTACGCATTCCTAATTTGTCCCCCGTCACACGTCGACTGCATGGAAGTGTTTAGAAGCCCACTGAAGTGCAGGACGCGGCGTGTGTGATGTTGGATAGGTGTGTGGGTGGGAACAGGAGTGTGTGTGGGGGGTGAGGAGCGTTTGAAGGTCGGGGGGTGCATGTCGTGGTCGGTGGGTCTGAGAAGGTGATG